GAAATAGTAACAATATTAGATGTCACTGCTATAATTCTCTAACATATGCTCCAAATCATTTTTCCTTATAAAATTAAGGAGATTCATTACCCATTGAAAATGACCACAAAGAATGAAAAACTAAGTCAATTTAATGCTGCTGTGACTTTGGGATGTCTAGCAGATGAGGAGGAACAGTAAAGGAATTATTCATATCAGGGAGGCTAGGATTAGCATACTAAACAGACCCCTTTTCTTTCTCAACTGTTTCAGGCAGACAAAGCTTCTAAGTAAAAGGAAAGTTCTTTCCAAGTGCTAGAAAGCACTGGATTTCAAACACCAGAATATGATGAAGAATATCCCAAAGGTTCAAAAAAAAGAACTAATACAGTATCTCCCCAAATTCCAAAATCAGAGATTCTCAAAGTACAAATGTTAAGAACTTGTTATTACACCAGATAATGCTGGCAGAAGTCTCTTCACCCTCATGTATGTCTCTTAGATGTAGCCACCTAGATATCTCTAGATAAAATTTAAAATAACTTCAAAATATTAGAGGTGAAGGTTGAGATGTCATCATCAGGCTTTCAGTAGATAAAAAGTTTCAGAACATCTGGGGTGGATCACTCTGATCTCCTCTCTCTCAAAGCTGTGCATAGGGCAGAAAAAAATTTTACAGGAGGATGGAATGCTTGTATAATGAGCAATATCTACAAGAGATCTCTACTTTTAGTAGAAATGGTAAGAAATGAAGTCTAAAACCTTTCACATCAATGTAGATGTATCAAAGCGAGGCTACAGAAATTTTATGTGCATGCTGCACTGACAATCTTTCGGCATCATAAATACTGGCAAAACCAAACCCCCAAAAGACAACTGTTGTGAGTTCTACTCCAACCTTTCCAGAAACGGCAGCTTTACCAGGAGTACTGCACAGCTAGACTTTCCTATATCCTTTGGATAAAAGCCACAAGCTGAGGAGCTTTTTAAATACTGCTGCCTAGGGAAAGTTTTACTCCTCATCCTTGTTGTTACCTAAAAAAAACATTTCAGACTAGATGCACGGAAATTAGGTTAACCACTGCAAATCCTCACTGAATTTGCCAAGTACACTCCAAAAATTTCTTTTTAACCTACTTGAAAAAAACTGTTTGATCTGAAATGTATTTTGGTATCATTTGACTGTCTAGGAAAAATGTCTAGCTTCACAGTTTATACCACAGATCAAACAACATTACTGTTAAGTATGCAGGAAAAATATTTCAAGTATTACCAGAAAATTGGCTGTATACCAGAGACACCTTACACTATTTGGGTCTGTCCTTCCTCAAAAAGATACAACAATACAGCTGCAATCTTTACAAAAATCTACCAATATTCTTAATGAATACAATTTCAAGAAACCATTGAATCTGCATATTTCAAAGCATCCTCTCATACCTCTGTGTTTGAATAATAGGTATTCCATGATGACCGTAATGATTCTTGCCCTCCAATATCCCACATTAAGAAATGAGTGTTCTTCACCACTATTTCTTCTACATTGCTTCCTATAGTTGGAGACGTATGAACCACTTCATTCATTAAGCTAAAGGAAACAATATCACACCACAAAGATCAGCCAGTAAAATCCACAAGGCTTGTCACAGCAAAACCACAACAATTTTGTAGTAGAAAAAAATAAATATGTGTAACTGGTTAAAAAAACTATTAAAAAAATAGGCACATTCCAAAAAGCTATACATTTGAAATTTTACAGAAATAAAGCAAATATTTTAAGAGCAGTTCTTCAGTAAGAAGATTAGTTCAGTCTGAACTTGGACTGAAATCTGTGGTCGACAGAAGTTCTAGTGTGCTTTTTGTAGCAGAGACTGTAGGCATGCTTGAAGACATCAGCAACAGAAAATAAGCACATAAAATGCTTATAACAAATGCATAAGCATCTGCGTTTTAAGAGGCTTCTCTTTATAAAGGATGCTAACATATACTTAAAAAGCATTTGTTTCAAAGTTGACACTGCTATTTTAAAAATCCCAAATAAGAGAAACACTAAACTCTGCAAAATATAAATCAGAATATAATTTTATCAGAGCACTCACATTTAGTAACTCAATATTAAAACAAATTGTTAAGGACTGTCTGTTTACATAGCTGGAAAGTTCTCAGTTCTACCTTTAAGCTTTGTCAAAAGCGATTAGGAGAAGGTGTTTTATAGAAAACATCCTCTGTTACCTTCATATCCAAATACATGCACAGTAGTTAGGCTACACTCTCCTCTTTTTCCACATTAAAACAGTAATTATGTTCCTGAAAGTATTCTTGAATTTATCAAATACTCTTGTAATGCTGGCAAGATTTTGGTGCAATGATGCTATTGAAAATGCTTCAGGTACGACCTAGGCAGGAAGAACTACTATTCTGAGGAATCCTCCAGCACAAATTTTAAACACTGGGATCAGGAAAAGTTTGGAAACACTTAGGGATTTTTGTAGAGTAGCTAGACTCCATTAATTTACTTCAATCATTTTCTTCTCTGCAGCTCTTGGCAACAGGATTATTTCTACGCTTACACATAAAGACAGGCTTTGATGGCAAGAGAATTTGCAGTTCACTTCGTGCTTGTATGTACAATTTTGTTATTCAATTTACAGTTCAGTTTTAAAACACTGCAGTTCCTCCACTTACCCTTTAAATATTTACTCTGTTTAGAACAACTAATACCATGAATGTACAAACTGTGATCTAGCACTCTAGTAATTCCATCAGGTTGCAAAGGTAAATTTTCAACAAGTAAATAGTGGCAAACACTGAAACGTAAACAGAAAAACATAGTTCATATACTTACAATTGGTAAAGAATAGTAGTCTTGCCAGCATTATCAAGTCCTACTATGATTACTTTGTGCTCTGCGTATACACAAAAGAGACAAGAATAAATTAGGGGAAACATCAATAATTGTAATTCTGGTTAATCATTTTTCCTTACTGAAGAAGGCAACTGCTAAATATTGTCTTATTTCAATAGATGATACAGACCACTGATGACTTCAGGACAGAAAACAAAGTCCACAAAGCCTCATCTTCTCTTGACACTAAAGTTTTAGGAAACATCAGTAATGAAAGTCATCAGAATGGAATGGTTACTAATATGATTACTTAATTTAATAAAACTAATTTTAGCAAGAAAAATACAATGAAAAAACTATAACTCATAGTACTGTACCATCATAAGAACACAGAATTATAGACTAGTTTGGGTTGGAAGGGACTAAACTTGATCTTCTTAGATGGTCTCAAACTTGATCTTCATCACCAAACATCCAAAGACCACATAAAATATTAGTCTAACATTCAAGGCTGAATAATGGCCACTTGTTAAGTGGTCATAGTAAAAACTAAGAGGAAGATGTATTTTGAATAGATCACAAATTCCAACATTGCAATGTCTGAACCATGAAGTCACAGAATGACAGAATGGTCAAGCTTGGAAGACACTTCTGCAGGTCACCTGGTCCAATGCCTTTGCTCAGTCAAGGCCAGTTGCCCAGGAACATGTCCAGATGGCTTTTGAGCACCTGCAAGGATGGAGATTTCACAACCTCCTCCCTGGGCACCCTGTGCCAGTGCTCAGTCACCCTCACTGTGAGAAAGTCTTTCCTGATGTTCAGAGGGAACCTCCTGTGTTTCAGGTGGTGCCCATTGCCTCTGGTCCTGTCACTGGGAACTGCCGAGAAGACCCTGACTCTGTCCTCTTTGCACTCTCAGATACTCGTATACATTGAGAAGCCCCCTGTGAACCTTCTCTTCTAGGCTAAACAGTTCTGGGTCTCTCAGCCTTTCCTCATATAAGAGGTGCTCCAGTCCCTTAATCATGGTCGCGGCCTGCTGTCACTGGACTCTCTCCAGTACGTCCATTGTCTACCTTGTCCTGAGGAGCATGGAACTCGACACACCAGTGCTGAGTGGAAGGGAAAGATCACCTCCCACGTCCAGCTGGGTAGTCGGGCTTATAGAATAGCGATCTTCCAAACGCTAAAATGTTATTTTTCCAGGAACAGGGAAACAAAACCAAACCCAAACAAACCCCCCCAAAAAACTCCAGAACTTATATGCTTCTCTGTAGCTAATCCTTACAACTTCAAATACAGCAGCCCAGACAATTAGGATGGTGGTTCTTTTGATACACACATGAAGTTAGAAGATACTGATCTGTTTACTGAGAAAAAAGCAAATCACTCAAGAGCACAAAATTTATAAATGGATACTAAAAGTAAAATTTGCATAAAAAGTCTCAACTGGCTCACCTTTGAAGAGTGAATTAAAAAATTCAAGGGTACTTACTCCAAAGCAAAACATGATTCACACTAAAGATTTCCACTAAAAATTTTCCTCTAAATACACATTCCATCTACAAGACTTGTAACAAGCTACTAAAAAGGTCAGAAGATCTACCATCTTTTTGGTACCATCTACCATGTTTTTTTGCCTGCAGGTGGGGGTTCTAAGGAAGAGTTAAGTTGTGGAGGGGGAGGAGGAGAGGGAGGGGTAGTGTTTAAGTTTATTTATATATAATAACATGGGTCTTTTCATACTGAAAGTGATTTTAATAAAACAATCTCTTGCTTGGGACTTTTAGAAGGTTTGCTGTGCAATACAGCCCTCAAAATTGTTGAAATATATTTCCTGTATCAGTTCCCCTACTACCACATCCTGCCAACTAATTCTAGACAAACAACTTTTCTTGGCCTTAAATCCAGTAAGAATATAGCCCCATAAGAAACAGAACCAGCAATCAATAAGCTGTCCCAATACATCAATGGTATGAAACCCTCTCTGCTTTCAACTCTAATAAACCACGCCACGTAGCCAGACTGTCCATCTCTTCTTCAAATTCAGTTAAATTTGTAGAGCTTTCAAACACAGAAATACCCTTTGTTTGTTTTCAAACAGCCATGTTATCAACTACTGTCTGGATGAAGATGACTCTACTTTTGCAACATTCTGTTTTAGTTATTTTCAGGAGGAAAAGAAAAGGATCTCTAGACAGGCATTACACTGCTCTTTCCCACATTCATATCAGAATACAGAATCTTACTTAGGAATGAATAAGAAAAGTGTTGGATGAAACAATATCATGCTACTTAAAGTAATGAAAAAAAATCCCCATCGAGATGACTCTTTCTGAAAGCCACTGAAGTGTGAATGGTTCAACACTAATTGGGAAAAAAAGGGACAGCTTATCTGAGTTACTCTGTAGTCAAATGGTATTAGGTACAGTAACTGAGTAAGAACAAGTAAGAAACAGTCACACAGGTGTAAATGTTGATTTGGGAATGAAAATAATAAGATGAAAACATCAGTATCTCATACAAACAGCAGTTTCCACCTTGTTTTAATGTCAGTTGCTTTCAGAACTGTCATCTGTGGTAATGGAAAATTCTTCAGTTATAGACATATTCAAAAGTTGAATTTCTGGCTAGTTCGGTTAAATCACAGAATTCACACTCATATATGTGCATTACAGGAAAAACGTCAACTTAAAGACTGTCAAACTAAGAACAAAATTTTAGCAAGATGAATACTTGTTTACAAGAGCAACTAGCAGATGATATATGCTACATTTAAGAGAAATTAAAATTATGGAGTAAACCACAGGCAGCGATTTATGCTCATATTTGTGTTCTGTACGTACAGACTAACCCAAGTTCCTCCCTTGCACTGGATGGTATTCAAACTCAGGTTTGGTTGTATTCATGAATATCTTCCCAGCCCACCATGTTCTTACCAAAGTAAAAAGAAAATCCATAACTGAGTTGCCAGAGCAGAAGGGCAGAGTCTTCGTAAATCGGGCAGAAAAAAGGGAAAATATAAGCAGAAAAAGCAGGCATATGTAGGGGGAAAAAAGGACAGTATGAGGCTACTGTTTAAAAGAATCCAAAGAATTGTTATATCAACCATTCCTGGCAGACTGTTAAAAAAAAAAAAAGTATTGTTAAAAAAAATCTCTGGCAGTCTAGTATTACAAAATAACAGGACAGTGAAGACAATCTTGCAGATGTTAAAAGTAAGACATAATATGTGCTCTTTTCTTTACTTATATAGTCCTCTGTAGTAAAGGGATCCAAAACTGAAGATTCAACTCTTACAAGTTTTCCATTTCCTCTTTCTGATTTGCAAAAATTAAAAATAAGAGTATTTCTAAATACTTTAATGATGAGCAGGGCTCTTCCAACATACTTGAAAGAAGCAATGAATATTGGAAAGGGCACCAATACTTTTCAGGCTGTGAAACACAAAACCCACTTCTAGTTCTCAACAATCTTGGAGGCTTCAAGGCTGAAGACAGAACGCAGACAGAAGTTAGGTAAAGAGGAGGCAGGAGGAATAGCATTTTGCTAATGTTCAAAGATATTTCAATACAAAGATTCATTCTGCACCCTAAAAGCTGCCACAGAGTCTTCTTTTAAACAAAAAAGAACCGCTTAAATACACCCTTATTTCCAGACTTAATTACACGAAAGTGGCCTTTAGTATTCACTAGAACCAAAATCCATCTGTTTTCCAGATAATGGTCTCTGCTAACCTGACTGTAGAACCTGGGAACTGTCAGCACGCCTAAGTGAAGTAAACCGTGGAGTTACAGGAGTTCAACCACCTTGACTTAGAGCTTACCATTATTTGTCTTATGGCAGTTATTTAACACCTATAGCATTTATTCAGAGCAATCCGAAAGACTTTGAACAACTGTAATTCAAACAAATTAAAATACAGAGTTGTGAACTTCTTAAAGAACTCGATCAGACACACACCAAAGGAATAAGGTATTGACAGTTGTCAGGTGCCTTTATCAGGGTGGCTGACATTCACTTCTGCTTTTTCCTTATAGTTTCATTCAGAGCAATATTGACAGTATTGGTAGAATGATAAGTCAAGCAAGTTTTGTGCAGCTTTGTGTTAACACAGGCAATAAGTTAGCTGTTCCAACATTTATTCATATTACTACATGTTGCTTAGAAGACCGTGCCCTTTGAGTACTGAATCACAGCTTAAGCCAGTCAGTTTTGAAGTCTAATTATTTTTTAAACATACTTTTTAAAGTTTTTTTTTAAAATAAGTGTAAGTTCAATCCGAACTTATGACACTTTAAAACTAGACTTTAAATGGCTGCAGGGCACAGCATTTTAAATGAAAACAATACTCTGGCAATGTCTATTGTCAATTTTAAAACTAAGGAAAAAAATCAGGAAGCCGTCATTAAGTCACCTAGAAAAAAGGCAAGGTCTATTTTTAAGCCAATTGTTTCTCTTATAAGTAAAGTATCTCTATTTCAGTTTGCATCATTCAATTACTACTTGATTAAGAGACAATATATATTGAGGCCTAAAAGACATAGAAATGGTTATTGTTCTCCCTCCTGCCAGCTTTAAACTCTGGACTGAAAAGGCATGCAGAGCAGAAAACAAGATTACATAAGGTCCTGAAAGTGTCTTGTCTCCTACCACCACTCCCCCCTAAAACCAAAACCAGCTACTGTTTAAAGACTACTGACAAACTCAACCTGGAAATGAACCCTTCCAAACACATCCACAGAGCTAAATAGATACTCCCTGGCAGACTGTGCTCAGGGCAGAGACTGTTAGCCTTCCTCTCTTCCGTTAGTCATTGACTCAGATCAGCACAGGCACTACCCATTTTCCTTAAACCACTCTGCACTGCTGCTTTCTTCCATAACCCCACATTAAATTTGGTGAGTAAATGGTGCAATGCAAAGGAAAAGCAAGTGTATTCTGCCAGGGGAGCAGGGAAACGAGCTAAAGGCTTTCCCCGTCTAGAAGTTCCCATCAAAGGTCAAAGCCACACAATACTATCTTAACCATCAAAATTTTTCACTACGGGCCAGTCTGAGTTTGCCAAAATGGGCTGAACCGATGGGAATAATTTCTGCGGCAT